AACATAATATTTTTCTTCCTTAAACTTTAAATGGACAATACAAAGCGCTTTTTATCAAGTGAGGTATTGGCGTAGTGTCTAAGGCGACAGACGATTATCCAAAAGATGTCTTCAGTTCAAGTTCGAATCTCACTAGAGAAAATATTAAAAATTATGAAAAAATAATGTAGACAAATTTTTTTTGTCATAGTATTTTATGAGTATTTATGAGAAAGCGCTTATTCTATGAGTAATTATGAAAAATTATGAGAAAATTTAATTGAAGAACCTACGAAACGACAGGATCTGCGCGCAATCTGCAGCCAATCTGCCGTCATAGTCTGTCGACAGGCTCTGCGCGCAATCTGCCGCCAGTCTGTCGTCAGAGTCTGTTCGCAGACCCTGTCAACAGTCTGGCGGCAGATTGGGGACGCAGATGTCTATGGATCTGTTGACAGATCCTGCTCGGATTCGACAGATCCTGTCGACAGTCTGACGTCAGTCTGCGCGCAGATTGCTTACTGAGATTATATATACTACATATATTATAGATTTTCAGTACTGGCAGTGAATACAGAACGCAGTTGCATAAGTATATATTGTATTATATGAACTTATTTAGATTATCTCGAGAAGCAGCAAGACAATTATGTCTGGATTTATTACCCTATCTACCTCCGAAAAGAAAAGCAATAACAATTCCTCCTGAATTAAAGGTAACATTATCTGTATTAAAAAAAAAAAATAGTAAAATATAAGCACATTAGAAGGATACACAGTATTTAAATGAAAATTGATATTTATATGCTACTGCTTTTATGTATTGTATTGTATCTTTAATATTATATATTTTTAGAATTATACTAGCAACATAATAAATATTTTTTTCTATGTAGATTTTAACATGTCTAAGTTTTTTCGCTTCTGGCTCATATCAACGTCGTATCGGCCAGGATTTTCTGTCATGTATGTGCCAAGCGTCGATATCTGGAACGATTCATAGCGTTGTACAAGCATTAAATCAAATTATGAGACAATGGATTCAATTTCCAATAGAGGATTTTGATATAGAGTTGGTTAAACAACAGTAAATTTATAATAAATAATTACAATATAACTATAACTATCTTTAACGATAATAATAATTATTTCAGGTTTTTGATTCACTGTAATTTCCCGGGAGTAATAGGTGCTACAGATGGTACACATATAGCTATTTGGCCTCCAGAGAAAGAAAGGGAACATTTATATATAAACCGGAAATTATATCATTCACCAAGTGTCATGATAGTAAGTATAATTACTAAGATACAAGAACATAACATAATTTAAAAACATAATTTTATTTCTTATAAAATATTTTGTAAGGTTAGCGATTTCAATGGAAAAATATTAGCAGTCAATAGTGCACATGGAGAAAAACTCACGATTCACGTGTGTGGAATACTTCAGTTATATCGTTACATTTAGAACAACAATTTTTTAATGGAAGAAGAAATTTTTGGCTATTAGGTATGATATGCATATATTTTATATTATGTATGAGATTATATAAGAATATGCATTAATATATTATTATAACATATTACTAACATAAATGACAAATTTCATATATATATCCATCAAAAGCATACGCATTTGATGGATATATACATGAAATTTGTCATTTATGTTATATATTTATAATATATACAATATATTAATAATATATTAATATATAATATACATTTATTTATTTATTTATTTATTTATTTATTTATTTATTTATTTATTTATTTATTTATGTTATATATTTATAATATGTTATAATAATATATTAGTACATATTCTTATTATAATATATGTTATAATAATCTCTATATCATAGGAAATTCAGGATATCCATTATTACCTTACCTCATGACCTCATGAAATTAAGGCAACGTCCAGGAACACCATCAAGTCGTTACACTGATGCTCATATAAGGACTCGAAGTAGCGTAGAACGAGCTATTGGAATGCTGAAAGGTCGGTGGAGATGTCTCAGAAAAGAAAGAACTTTGCATTACTCTCAGAATTTGCTGGTAAGAACTATATATTTGTACAAATATACATACTTTTATATATTTTTATATATTACATTTAAATTATTAAAATATTAATAAATGTTATGATTTCAGCTCTTATTATTAACGCTTGCTTCGTGTACAGAATATTGCCAAATTTTATAATGTTCATCAGCCGGAGATTTATTTTGATGAAATAGATAGAGAGCAAAGAAATATAATAATTAATGACCAAGCAAACAATGGCAACGAAATTCGAGAAAATATCATACGCTTACATTTTACTTAAAAAAACAAATAAATGGGACAAATTAAATATTTATTTTGTAATAAATTTTTGATACATATATATGAAATAAAAGTTTATTTTTGGATAATTTGGATGGTGTTATAATTTAATGTTAATTTTTAATAAATGATGAAACAGAATTTGAGTGTTAAGAATAACAGAATTATTTAAAAAAAAATACAACTTTCAGAAATTGTCGATAACTTCTTAAAGAACTTTCTACAATAAGCTGTTAGTTATAATAATGCACAATGCATAAGGAAATGACTAATCAGAATCATTCACTTTATATTCAGGATAGAAATGAAAAATCTGATAGATTCATTTCCTTATGCGTTATACATTATTATGATTGACAGTTTATTGTAAAAAATCTTTAAAAGATGCACTGTTGAAATATGTTTTATAGTTATTACTGTTAAATATTTGTTACTGCGTGCTGTTATTAGTTATTACAATATTTTTAGATTAAAGATATTAGATATTGTTTTAAACGTTTTTTTATGTTTCTTGCTGCTCCTCTCTCTCTTCGTAGTAACCATTAATATATTTATATAAAGTGAAAATAATAAAATTATTTTTATGTATTGTTGTTATATATATTTTTATGTTACTAAGCGATTTTCTTTCGTAACTTTAATTAAATATCAACATTAACCTAAGGACAATTAGAGTTCACGTACAGGTTGTATAGTGCTATTATAAACTATTAAAACATAGTGACACAATCTCGCCATGAGAACAAATTTTATTAAATATCATACGCGTTTCGGTCTCATTTCACACTTTTTCTAAGTCATTTCCAGATTTATTATTTATGAAGGCTGACAAGGGTAATGTTACAGTTGCTCTTGACAGGAATGTTTATGTTGCAAAGATGTTGTTACAGTTGGAGGACGTTAATACTTATCAGCTTGTTGAAAAAGATCCTACTAAAAAAATAATAGCCGAATTAAAAAACATTTTAAAAAGATGGAAGGATGAGTCCTACATCGATAATTCGGTTTATAAGTTTCTCCAATCGAGCGATGCCACTCTTCCACGTGCTTATGGTTCTCCGAAGATTCACAAGGCGGACAACTCTTTAAGGATAATTGTCTCATCTATAAATAGTCCTCTATATAATTTAGCCTTGTTTTTGCACAGGTTGATTTCTACCAGTATCCCTGTACCTAAGAGCAGGATCAAGAATAGTTTTGATCTGGTTAATTCTTTGGCTAATTTGTATATGGAGGAACACTGTAGATTGTTTTCGTTGGATGTGATCTCATTGTTCACTAACGTTCCCCTTGAGTTGGTTATGGATGGTGTCTTGAGAAGATGGAGTTTTCTGGAAGTGGCTTGTAGGATTCCTAGGGATGAGTTTATATTAGCGCTCAGATTCGTCCTTAACTCCTCTTATTTCAGCTTTGATGGCTGTATTTACAAGCAGACCTTTGGCACCCCGATGGGCTCTCCTCTCTCTCCAATCATAGCTGATATTGTTCTCCAAGACCTTGAGGAAAGAGCACTCCAGACGATAGAGATTTGTTTACCTTTTTATTATCGTTGACGACATCGTTATGGCTGCTCCAGAAACTTCTATAGAGAATATCTTAAATGTTTTTAACTCTTTTCATTCACGCCTTCAATTTACGATTGATTTTGGCGATAGAGGCAAAATTTGTTTTTTTGGAAACATCTATGAAAATTGTAGATTGTAGGTTTAGGTTTGATTGGTACCACAAACCTACTTACTCTGGCCGCCTTTTTAATTACAACTCCTTTCATCCTATACAGCATAAAATTGGTACAATCATAGGGTTAGTGGATAGAGTAATTTTTTTGAGCCATCCAATGTTCCATGTAAAAAATTTTGAGTTTGTTTTCCACACATTGGTTATGAATGGTTATCCCATCGAATTTATTCTTAGAATCTGTAGGAGACGTGTGTTTCGACTAATTGAAAAAATGAATATTATTCCACCAAGTACATCTTCGTCTTCCTTGTTACCCACTCGTTCTTATAATATTTTTCCATATTTGGGAATGATTTCAGATAGAATCAGTAAGATTTTTAAAGAATTTAATAAGGTTTCATGTTTCAGTATTATGAACAAGCTTTCTGGTCTGGTTCGTGTCCATAAAGACGCTTTGCCTCTGAATCTTCTGAATAACGTTGTATATAAGTTAGAGTGCGGAGACTGTGACTCGTCTTATGTTGGTCAGACGAGCAGAAGGCTCTCCACTCGTGTATCTGAACATAAACGACTACCTTGAGACCTTACTTCGCATCTCTCTGTCGTACAAGAGCACCGTGTTAATTACGGCCACGAATTTAAATGGGATAATGTCAAAGTTTTGCATAAGGAACATCTATTTTATAAAAGAATGATTGCAGAGATGATTTTTATAAAAATGCAGACGCATGGACTGAATTCTCATACTGACACTGAGAATTTAGGAAAATGTTACAACATGTTACTCGGTTTGACTTAGATCGTATTTCGTTTGCGGTTACGAAGTAAATATAAACACTGGATTCTGTATTGTTTGCGGCATTCGGAGGTGCACGTTCATAGGCATAACATCTCACCGGAACTCTCTGGCCTTTATCGAGGTAGATATCATTATTTTGTTTTTCCCTCACATTGGGGTTGGTTGCTCTATCTGAATACGTTTTTTAGATGATCATACCACAGCATCTTAGTACGTGCGATGGAGTGACCAGTCTCGGAATAAATTGTCGGTAGCTTCCAAAAATGAAACATTTCATTGTGTAAATGATATATTATGTTTGTGCTTCCGAATCCCGTAGACAAAAAATTTGTAGCGACAATTCTGTAACAACCAATGTTAACGTTAACTTTTGCGATTTTTTATTTTTTGCGACACTATAACATTACTTGTAATCACTGAAGAGGGTCTGTGAAATGAGACCGAAACGCGTATGATATTTAATAAAATTTGTTCTCATGGCGAGATTGTGTCACTATGTTTTAATAGTTTATAATAGCACTATACAACCTGTGCGTGAACTCTAATTGTCCTTAGGTTAATGTTGATATACTCAAGAAGAGTTTTTTAGTTATATTATTTTAATTAAATATCTCTGAAAATATCTCTGATTATCTATGCTATTTTTTACTATCTATATAATTCAAACTTGTAAAAGTAAAGCAGTTTTATAGGAATAAAACAGAATTGTAGGAATACAATAGAATTATGTCATTACATCTGTAAAATGTTAAATTTTATTATTTTTTATGCCCCACATTTCTCTATAATATCAATTGATAATTATATGCAAACAATTTTTTAATGCACGAAGAAATGTTTAGCTATTAGGTATGATATGCATATATTTTACATTAGATAGGAGATTATATAAGAATATGCACCAATATATTATTATAATATATTATAAATATATAACATGAACGACAATTGAATTATATTAAATTAATTAAAAATATTCAATTATATTGAATTAATTAAAAATAAAATATAGAAGTACTTATTAAAATGTTTATACTCTTGTTTTTGGGTTTTAAATATCTACTTGGATTTTAAATATTAAAATAATATTATACATATTACATTAGTATTTTTATTCATATGTTATAATAATATAATTTATAATGACTTTCCAATATAAATGTTTTGTAATAAAATAGAAAAAAAGTAATACTGTTGCAATATATAAAACTAAAAGTAATACTGCTGCAATATATAAATCTAAACTGTAATGTAGAACTAAATAACATCACATATATTTTCATTACTTTTACTAATTATTTAAAAATAATATTTTTATAACAAATTATTGTACTTTCGATTGCAGTCATATGTTTAAATAAAGTTTTTATATATTACGTAAACATAAATATATTATTTTGACATATAAACAAGCTCTGTTATGTTATAAACAACTAAACATAACAGAAAAATATATGTCTAATTAAAAAAAAAAAAAAAGAATTAACACTTAAATGAAAAAAAAAACATTTTGCTATGTATAATCTAAAACTACTTTTATGCTTATTGCAAAGAACCAAATGTGTCCAAGATACTCCGTATTTTTTGCAATTCACCTAACGCTGATCTGTGGATTTCCAAAAGCTCACATTGTATATGTATCTCTTCTTATTTTAATGTTATTTTGTCTTCTTGCAATAAAATCATTTTATTAGTCATTGATTGTAATTTCGGTTCTGAAATATAAAGTATTAAAGTATTAAATAAAATTAATTTTAACATATTAAGTACATACAATTTTATATAATAATTATAATATTGCGTTCCACGGAAAAATTCGTATATAATTGTATAAAATTATATATAAATTATATATGATTATATATAAATTAAAAATAAATGTTTCGTATATGATCGCATATATAGCTATATATAATCACACGAAAAAAATAATATTAAATAAAAAAAAAACAATAGTTAAGTTTAATTCGACGTTTAATTAAACCTCGACATCATATGTTGTTAGAAGCGTAAGAATTTACTTTCATTATATCTGTATAACAGTAATTCTTCCTTGTGAGGATATATAATTATGCATAATTACGTGATCATATACAAATAAAATTAATATGTGATTTGTTTTCCCGAACATCATACCTTTAAAGTTAGTGGCACTTGTGTTTACATTTGGACGTAATCTTTTATACGGTGCGACATTTTCATTTTCTTCAAAGTATGAACATTCTCTTTCCATTATATTGCTATTATTAGATTTTTGCGAACCAAAATTTATATTTTTATTTAAGTATATCCCTCCTTGTGGAATATCTTCTAATCCAGCTGCTTCCGCAGTTAAAAACTGTAATAATCTTTCTTTCAAATCAGAAAAAAAATCTGTTTTGGTGAGCCTCCACCTGTTTGTACACTATAAATTCTTCGCTTTGTTTCCTTCTTTAAGATGTACATTTTCCAATCCTTCCAGGTCTTGAAACATAAAATAAGCTACTTTTAATTTAATTTAACCTACACTGTAAAAACAAGTATGTTACATTAACACATTTTACGTGGCAGTCGGACCTGCGTCTTCTTTTCGATCCGTAGGTTTAAATATGTATTAGGCACGGTTAAAATATGTATTATGTAACTATAACTCAAATAAAATTATATAAATTGAAATGTATATATTTATTGATAAGAATGATAGGAAAAAGAAAATTGATTTATACCTTATACCATTCAGAACTGGTTTTAACTAGACCGTTGTGAGCGGAATTCATTGTGTTTGATAAGTCTTCTAGTAATGTTGCCTACAATTATAATACATGTAATATAATTATACTTTTATCAAACACTGTAACAGATATTTACCATTTGCTTCTTGCTTTCTTCTTTCCTACGCAATCTACCTCTTGCTACATCTAGATTTAATTTCATCCATTGCAACATCTTTTCTTTTTGTTCTTGTGTTGTATTCATTCTGTAATATAGTATTATATAATTTATGAATAGTTATTATATATTAAATATTATTATATCTAGTGCATTATATGACCTGATATAATCCCAAATAGCAAAATAACGTCAACTGACATTTTAGTGATGTCTTATTGACATTAAAGACATTATTAAAGCATTATTTAATATCATTAAGACGTCACTCTAACAGCATAAAATACATAAAATACATGCAATAAATACATAAAATAAACTTACATTTTACAGTAAGTAACGCAGCAAGCATACAATTTATAATATATTGCACTTTAACTTCTGTGCATACTTAACTTTGCATATACTTAACGATGCGTATCTTAAATTCACGCTTCAATTGGCTTTCTTTGTTCTTTTTTAATGGACGTAGGATTCTTATGTCAAATGCCAATTGTCGTATAACTCTAACTATAAAAATTAAAGTCACTATAAGAAATTCTACTCACTTTGTACATAATATGCGAGTGTAGTATTACATTATTTTTCACATTTTACCACATCGCTTGATGCTTAAAAATTTTCATGGAAACTTACACAATTTACATGTAAAGAAGAACATATATGAGCGAACTGAAAGTTCACGTGAAATATTTCACGTTTTGAGAATTCACTTTTCACGGTTAACGTTCGTCTCATTTATTAAATTTACTCATATTGTATTATTATATTATATTATAATTATAAACTTAAGTTGTATAATGCTTATTAATGTGTTATATATTACATTTTGTATACTGTAATTACATTTTAATTATAATAATCTATATTACATAAATATTGCTTTCCATATTTTCATTGTTCACTTTTCATGTGAAATAACACAGTGAAAAGTGAAAAATGAAAATGAAGTTCACGTGAAAGATTCATGATCGCTACCCTGAATTGTATTCGGAAGTATAGATTAATTTATATACGGAAAACAACTTTTTATGACTTCTAGAGTGAAACGTGTAACATTTAAACAGTTGTTGAATTTAATAATGCGTCAAAAAGGAATGCAACAAGTAAGCAATAAATAATATACTTTTCTCACACAATATATTTCTTTTCCACAATGATATTTTTTTCAGAAGTATTGAATGTAACAAATAATTATTGCACTAGCATCATTGTTAAATGCTTAATGTCATTACATATATATAGCAAATATTGACTGATTCAATTACATTTAAAACAAATTATACAATTAACAGTATTTTATGAATATAAGACAAGATTTATTTTAAATGCTGTATTTAGTTATACTTAAAAAACTTTCTATGTTTTTGAAGTCTTTGTCTACACTAATTTAAAAATTCTGTAGTAAATACAAAAAAATTTATAATAGGAATATAATTTTAGATATATACTGGAGGATATCAACCTATGCAGCCACAAAAAATACAACAAATAGCTTTATATTATTTGGCCTGAAATATCTATGGCACAAATTGGGGACAAATTTAATATAGCAACATCAACTGTTACCAATCGTATTACTAATGGATATACCTTATATTACAATTAGAACCTATTTTAATATAGTAGCCTACTAAAGATAAAAGAGTTATATAGAATAGATAATAGAGTTATATAGAAGATAAAGAGTAATATAGAAGAAAAGTTCAGGAATATTGCAAGTTTTCCAGGTAGATATGTCCATGATGATAAAAAACAATGGGCGCATTCAATAGAAAAAGCGCTCAGTGAGCAATCAACGATTATTGGTTCTTGCTATTAGATCCCTAAATCTAGACCAATTACATTGACAAATTACTCAACAGTTGCACAACAGTTGAGTAATTTGTCAATGTAATTGGTCTAGATTTAGGGATCTAATAGCAAGAACCAATAATTGTTGATTGCTCACTGAGCGCTTTTTCTACTGAATGCGCCCAATGACTAAGTTTACACGGCAGTTTAAAACCGGCTTAGTAACAACCGTATTTAGTAAACTCTCGCATCCGATTGGTATATTCTTTTAGATCTAGAAATATACTCCAATCGGATTCAAGAGTTCACTAACTACGGTAGTTACTAAACCGATTTTAAGCTGCCATGTAAACAAAATCAGTGTCTGCAATTGATAAATAAAAATATCAAATAATATAATCTTTAAAAATCTTTAAAAAAAAATCGTATACTAATTGTATAATTTTAATTTTATAATTTACTATTTTAATTATCATTGATCACTACCTAGATAGCACGATGCATTCTTTAAGTGTTCCTAAAGTTCTCTCCTTTCCTGAATTGTATTTCCTTAGGAATTCGTGGAAGAATACTATAAGAATGATTTAGGAAGTTACATGCACCATGATTGGAGTTCCTCAGAACTTCTTAAAGTATTCATATAGAATTACTTCAACTCAAAAAGATTTTTTCGGATTTAATAAATTTTATTGCATCCACACGAAAGAAAGATTAGAAACTTTGGCCGGTGCTTGTGTATATCTGTCCACTTTTAATGCCATATGAGATGAAAAACATCAGGACTTGGCTAGGATCGAACTCGGGTCTTCCGCTTGTCAGACAACCGCTCTTTCCACTGAGCTTTTTAAGATTTCATGTTTGTGACATGTATAATACCTAGTGACATTATATATACCTAGTGAAAAATGATTCGTTGATTGACGTCGGTTTGACGATTTCAAAGTCTATTTGATGTCTTTTTGATGTCATTTTGACGTCAATCAACGAATTATTTTTCGCTGGGTATATACTATTCTAACTGAGCTTCAAATGTAAGTAAAGCGCACTTTCAAATATGTAATTAAAAATCCAAGAATAAATGGCTTTCAAATAATGCAATTGGGTTTGTTAGAACTGTATATGAATTTTAGAAACATGAATACAAACTTAAGGATAAAATATACTTCGCATAAATCTATTTATTATTGATACAAGTGAACATTTTATTTATAAAAAGCTATTTTAACACCAATTCCTTTTCTTTGTCCTACTATATAAAACTATATAATTAATTATACAAAATATAAATAACTGTGAATAACAATAAATTAAACAATTTATATGTAAATATGTAAATCAATTATTATACACTTACTGGTATGTACTGAATATAGGCGCAAAAAGTAGTTGCTATAAACAAAACATTTGTAAAGGCTAAGGCAGATGAACGAGACGTAAGCGTCGTAAAGGCCATCACACACAAAATTCCGTACGAACTTAAATCGTAAGCGTAAGGAAATCGACCAACCCCAATCGAGTATTCATCTCTTCGTAATAATGAAGGAGTTAAGCCCATTCTACAATTCCCATTTCCCCTACAAGCCCATTCTACATTGCGTGAACGTGGTTGTAAGTGGTTGTATGTGATTACGACAACCAATCAGAATAAAACAATCAGTAAATAAAACATTCGGATTGGTTGACTCTTATGATCACACTACGCTCACGCAATTGTAGAATGGGCTTTACGGAGAGCCGAGTGTTCGATTGGGATTGGTCGATTTCTCTACACTTACGTTTTAAGTTCTTACGGAATTTTGTGTGTGATGGCTTTAAGGCTCCTGGCCCCTCGCCGCGGCCATATTGGTTTTATGACGTCAGAAGCGAGAAACGGCACGTCAAGAATTCTTGCGTGCCATATCTAAGTAAAAAGATATTCTTGACAAACAGCACTCGAAATCACTTCAACATACTTGTAAAAAGTTCCGAGTTCTCACCTTTTCCTTGGGCAATTCATACAAAGTCATAAAATAAGCAGTGAAATGAGGCCTGTCTACGCGAGAAAACGTGTGGTCAAACAGCTGATCAAACGAGTGTAAATTATGCTTCCACGTATTGTATATCACGAAAAGCCGAGAACTCGGAATATTTTACAGGTTCCCACAATATGTCTAATGTCACAAAAGTCCACTAGAGTAAATAATATAACCACATTTCGCAAGAAAAAATTTGGCTGTCAAGAGCAGTATTATACTGCAGTATATGTCATTTTCTCACTCCATTGAGTTCATTGTTTTGCCGTATAATGGCGCTGCACGTCATATGTCGGTAATAGGTTTCTTTCTGTACTATATGTCGCGTGTGGCGTGAGTCAAACAAAGACGGACAATCTTTTCTTGTCTTACCACAGACAAGCTGACAGGCACGAGTTAGCGACAAACGCCACACTGACAATTCTTGCGTGCCATTTATAAATAAAAAGATATTTATTGCAAACAGCACTTGAAATCGCTTAAGTGCATTCAATAAAAGTTCCGAGTTCTCACTTTTTGCGTGGACAAACAATGCAAAGCCGTAAAATGAACCGTGAAATAAAGCGTACTCACGTAAGAAAGCGCGTGAGTTAGACGAAGACAGATAATCTCTCCTTGTCTCACTACAGGCAAGCAGACAGGCACGAGTTAACGACAAACGCCACACTGACAATTCTTGCGTGCCATTTATAAATAAAAAGATATTTATTGCAAACAGCACTTGAAATCGCTTAAGTGCATTCAATAAAAGTTCCGAGTTCTCACTTTTTGCGTGGACAAACAATGCAAAGCCGTAAAATAAGGCTTTGCATTGTTTGCCCACGGAAAAAATTAGAACTCGGAACTTCTTACAAGTGTACTTTAGCGATTTCAAATCATGTTTGTTATAAATATTTTTTATTTTATAAATAGCACGCAACATTTGCCAATGTGCCATTCATATGTGACTTGGGTCTGTCATCGCCTAAGGCATGGTGTACGATACATATTGTCAGTAACAATTTACCGTATCCGATCGTTGTAACCATACCCGATCATTGTAATAATCGACTATGATTAGCCAATTCTTACGATTTACTCCGTACATTGCAGATAAAACTTTTGACCTTGTCAATGGTAGGAGTAAAGTACGGACTGTAAGAAACTTCTTTTAGTCCGTACTTTACTTCCATTATAGACAAGCGGTAACAGATAGAATGATTATGGAATTTGTCTGTTGATTGACAATCACGTCGCCGTGTCAATATATCTTTGTTTACCATTAGCGAGCACTAACTTTTCTATACATTTCAACATGCTTGAAAACGCCGACGAAATACGTACGCGTGTACATGTACACAATAATAGAACAATAGCACTTATAATTTTAACAAAATTATTAATATAAAAATCTACAATTAATTATACATGATTATGAAAAAAAAAGTGTGAACAATAACGCATTAGTGATTGAGAGACTTACAACCAATTCTTACTTTCGCTGTCCAGTAAAGAAAACATAATTATTGCAATATTATTATTATTCTTCAGTTACATGTAATTATTATTCTTCAGTTACATGTCGCTGTTCAGTTTCAAAATTTGTTTCTAATTTATTACAAATTTTACATTCAACATCTTTATAAGGTAACCTTGAGCCTAATCTTAACATTTTGTTAATATGGACTTTATATATTGTTATAATGTCTATCCCAATATTGCATTAAGGCTCCTGGCCCCTCGTATCATCTGTCTCTTTTTAATAATGTCAGAAGCGAGAAAATACAATACTACAAA